TGACTATGGTGCAGTTTTCACAGTTGAACCATGATAATGATGTAATGATGTTATTTGCATTACTTTGCAATGTTCTCGGTGTTATTAATCTACTTCTGCTCATTTCTGGTAATGTTACCAATTTTCTCCTACTTATTTCCATTAATGGTATAAATTTTCTACTGCTGATTTACATGAGCGACATACTGGGTCACAAAGAGGAGGGGTTGGTTCTTGTTATAAGGTGCTGTTTGAAAGACCAAAGCATGTCATCTGCTCTACTTTTGGGGTAAGAAATCTGTCTGTTGGCGACGTGTGGCACTGTTGCTGAATTTTGGAAAGAGACTCAGGTCAAGGGTTAGGTTTTTGTGCTGATGTTTAAACAATGGGAATTCATATCAATGGGAACTCATATCAATTCAATTGGCAGTCCTGAGTTGAGGTAATAGTCATATTAGTTATGTAGTAATAGGTATGTAATAGTTATATATAATAGTATAATTGCTATTCGAAGAGCAAAATAAGGAAATAATTTTGAAAATGAGGAGTGGAATCACCATTTTAAATAAATCTTTGATTTTTGAAATAATTTACTTACGTTGCTTTTTTAAAATGTATTTTAAAACAAAATTATGAACATTTCTTTTTTAAAAAGGTGATTTTTATAGAAAGTTTAATCAATAATCATTAATGGATTAGTAATTTATTTTGAAATATTTATTTATAAATATTTATTTTAAATTAAATTATTAAAGGTGAAGGAAAATCTTAACCTTGTTCAGGACATCTAAAATAAATTGAAATGCGCACAAACAATTTGACTTTGTGGGGTTTTATTTTCCTTTGCAAAGGTTTCAATCAATACAGAGTAATACAGAGTCAGAAAGGCTTTTGACCAAGAAGAAGTACAAACAGAAATACCCACTATGGTCACAGAGTACAATCAGAACATTTCGTACAAAAGATAACTTGTACAGTTGAGGATATTCTGTATTAAAAGAGTATATAGAGATTGTTGTAAATAAACATTGTGCAAGAGTCTTAAATCACACTTATTTGTTCATATTTTGCTACCCAGGAGAAAGACTGTCGTATAGTTTTATAAAGTAGTTTGGAGCAATACTTCTCTAGGCTCTGTGTAGCTCTTTCATTGCCTTGGAAATGAATGCATGGCCTTATATTGGCATTTTCGTGCACTTTCAATCCAGTTATTGTACCTGACTGCTTTCAGAATTATGTTTTTCATTTGTTTAAAACTTAACACTGACCTATGAATCAACTTAGCAAATCTGTATCTTTAGGCACTTTACTACAATGGCAGCATGTTGCAAAAGTACACAATTTGTTCCCATTTCTGAATCTATATTACCAAAACTAACAATACAACTGGACTGACATAAAATATATTTGCACCTAAATTGTTATTCTCAAGGAGCTATTAGCTGAAAACCAATAAGAACACAATACACACCATGCACGTTGCATGAAAAATAAAGGTCATGGTCCCGGTTCCGACGCCATTACCGCAAGCACTTTTGCAGTGTTGTGTTACATATTTTTACTTAAAGGTCAACAAGAGCCCATGTGATTTTAATGAAGAACTAGATGCATCTGATGCAGAGACATGAGTGGGGTGTTCACAGTTTTTTGTAAAATTCCATATTCTTGTGCCTTTTTTCAATCACTGTCTAAACTAATCAGAGTGTAACTAGTAAATGGGATTCCCAAGTGCAGCATCATCTTCAACACTACCATAGACATTGGTCTGTGGTAGTGTTGATACTTGAATAGCTCTACTCAGGACTGCAGACCAAAGCAAACATCACCTTAGGACCATGGCCTGTACCTATGACTCTGGTAATAGAGTTTGGTTGTCCTCAAAAGATATTCCATTAAAAATGGAATACACTGTGCACAACATGGGATCTGTCAATGTCTGGGATACACGTTACTGTTTCAGTTTAAGTATCATGCCATAGCTGATAGCAAATGTTAACATAAAAAGCTAGCTAGTAAGTGAGGATGAGCAGATTTAGGATTAAAGAAAGGTGAGATAGAGTCAACATTACATTGTTATAGTTTTTTTCTGTAGCAGTTCCTCTCATTGAATTCACAGAGTTGGTTTCAGTTTCCTGTTTATACCACTGTTATGGCACAAATAATCAGAATCAACAGGGACAACTTCAGCTCTACAAAAAAATACTTGTAACAGGCACTTTTAGTTACTTTGTTGTGACTGCTGAAAAATGAAAAAAGGAACTGTACCAGTTCTCTTTTTAAGGAATGACAATAAAATCCACACCAAGACCTAATGCGTGCGAGCATCGGCAGAGAGCACTGCATTGTTCCTGACAACAAATAAAGGTACAATCCTGGTTTCAAATTCAATGTTTTGCAGGCTCAGACAGGCACATACTTTTCTGCCACTCCTTACTTCCTCATTCATTAGTTCCTCAGTTAGCACATGTTTTCTGTAGATCCACCACAGCACAGTGCAACAGTGCAACAGTCCTGGGTTTCAGGAGTTGCACAAATTGGACATACAAATTGGACTCTCTATAGAAAGCAGAGTCCAATTTGTATGTTTCCCTGAGAGTCTCCCCATTGACAAACAGTCTGAACACACACAAGCATATTTTATGTATGATCTACAACAGCTCTGAAACTCCAGAACACCCTAACTAACCCTAACATACATCTTTTTTTTTCTAGGAAAACAAAACCAAAGTCAAAAATAACAAAAACAACCAAGAGATGCTATAACAATAAATAAATGACAAAAAATGAACTGAACTGGAGATTTTAGTCTTAAAGCTGAAAGCTGAAGCTCTAGCATGTTCCAACTACACTTTTCACATGCAGTATATTCTAAATAAACGAAACTAAGACCAAAGGAAAACATAATAAAAAAAAAAGTAAAATAATTTTGAAAGAATAAATAACAATAAACATACAGAAATAAAATATTCTTTTTTTTTTATAAACAATGAAAGTCTTGATTCACTTTCATATTTTTAGCACCATGTTTTTAAAACTTACATAGTGGTACACACTCTTAATAATTTATAACAGCTGTTATTGACTAGTTACTAATTATTATACATTTTACTTTGCTGTAATTTAGTGATGATGTATCTGTCGCAACATTTTTTTCCACTGCATTCAGGCACTGTTCTAAACTTTTCCCAGAGAAATAAATGACTATACCTGATGATACATTACAGCAAATAAGGTTTTAGTAATTTAGATATGATTCATGCATGCCCAGTATAAACTGTTTGGGGTCCAGCACTGAACCCTGTTGAACCCCACAGGTAACCTTCAGTAAATCGAAATCAAAGTTAAAATAGTTAAATACTACAGTATCAATTAGTACAGACATCTGTCATCAAAGTAACTGTTTACCTTTGTAAATGTTAGATAGCTAACATTTTTTGAATTTTTCTATTTTATTCCTAAATAAATGAAATAAATCTTGAATTTATTTACAAATGTACTAAAAAACACTTTACTGCTATGCAGAACTTTAGTTTCAAGTGTGCACAGACGATCTGAATATTAGTTCAGGTTGTGCTGAGTGCATGTGTCAAGTGTTCAAACTGACTGAAACAGACATTTGAGAGCTCACAAACACACAGTAGTTGTAATGTGACTTTTCATTTGGTAATGACACTAATTACTGTGAGTTTCATTTGGAAAAGCTTCATCAAGAGATGAATCACATTGACTGAACAGTGAACAGATTCACCTTTGCCTTTTCATTCAGATCACCCCATTGTTCTTTCTGGCACACGGGAAGAAGCTTCTGATGGTTTTCAGCCAGCCCTCTGTAAAAGAGAAACACAGCATCAGGTCAGATCGGAGTCCTGACCAAGACCAAGATCACGTGACTGCGTATAGTTAGTATGAAGGACAGAGGATAATAGACACTCACATTCAGAGCTGTTCTTCCTGTTTCCTGAAAACGTCTTTGCTGAAAACAATTACTTTGTACTAAATATAGTTATTACTTAGGACTGTAGTTTTATTCTCTATGATTTCATCTCCAAAAAAAAAACCTCTTCCCACTTCTTGACTATTACTGGAGATTAATGCTTCAGTGGGAAATCTGCACAATTGCAACTGCAAACCATTCTGAAATGCTATGAGGTAACCCATTTTGTAACCTGATGTGCTCTTCCCTACAAATGTAACTGCCTGTTGCATCAACACAGCTCACAACTGCTGTCACTTTACACTTTTGTAGTTTACTACACAGGTTCTAAGATTCGTGATAGCCTGCATCCTTCTGTCTCTCACACTGCTTTTCATTTCCTGTATAACTCATCAGTTCTTCAGAGTTTTTTTTATGTGAAGACAGACCTTCATAGACAACTTAGTAATATGCTTAAATGTGACTGTAGATTTTTCTTTGAAACAAAGCAAGTTAACACACTAAGACATCATCAGGATCTTACAAGCTCACATCCTCTAATACTGACCTTTGACCCAGAGTGCCACTACTTTCTGTTTCAGTGCCTTTCCATGCGTGTCATACATGGTGCATATGTAAACACCTCCATCTTCAGAGCGAGGACCTAACAAAGTTAGGCTGGCGTTTCCTGTCTTCCATGGATCTTTTCTCATCTCTGTGCGGTCTGTGTGAGTTGTGTCTGTACTTTTCTGATCCTTCTCATACACGACCTTTATTTCATCTTCTTGGATATGTTTCCACTCCACTTTGGCGGTCTCCGTATTCCTCAGTTTTTTGGATATGAAGGGTAGCAGGACAGACTCTGCTCCCTCTGTCACATCAACAACTTTGAGCTGGCAGACTGAGGGAACAGAGCAGAACATGAGCTGTGCTAAACAGAAACTGTAAATCACATTAAAAACAAACATTTGAAGTATAGTTGAGACGAAAATCAGTGTTCAAA